TTTTTTTTAAGTTGTAAGCTTAAAAGTTAAGCAGAGGCAAAAAAAAAAAAACCCCAAAATAACAAAGAGAAAATCAAACTTAAACTCAGAGAAATCAGGAAAGGAAAATGGTGGGAGGGAACAGAAAGAAGGAGGGTTTGTATACTCTACAGGGGAAAAAAAGAACCAGAAAATGAACTTCACCTTTAGGCAGGGTAGTATCTAGCTACAGGTGCCAGAAAGCCATAGAAAGCCTGTGCAGTGAAAAACTAGAAATATTTCAACATGGTAGAAGCTCTGGCTATTTATAAATGTAGATGATAAAAAAAAATACATCATTCATAAAGTAAATTGATTTTGCAAAGTTTTAATTGTGAAGGCACTGGAATGGAACAGACTATAATTTGAGTGCAATAGGAAAAAATGGCTGAAATTCCCGAGACTTCTCTGTGTTGTACTTTCATTTGCTTCCTCCCCTCATCAGACAAGTATTTGCTCTGGCTGTGCAGGGTCGAACTGGTCTTTCCTGGGACTGTTTCAGTTGAGCCCTTTTTTGTCACCTTATCTTTAAATGTGTGGCAAGGGGTTTCAGTTTCTAGGCATCTTGTACTCAATTCCTTTATCTATTTTTTGGTCTCTCTTCATTGGATGAGAGACAGACTATGTAACTGTAGTACTTGGTGTATTAGTTTTCTATTGCAGCCATACAAATTACCAGCAAGTAATTACCAAGTAATTTGGGGAACAGGAATAAATAGTGCCAGGGTGGGTTATTACAGGAAGCAACCAATCCAGGTGGGAATCATGCCTCTGATCCACGGAAATGGAAGGAAATTGAATTTATTCCCCACTCTTAGGAGGAAGTCCTCCACCAGCAAAACCAGGTATGGATATGCAGGAGGCAGATGCAGATAGCGTAAGGCAGAGGAGAAGCTTTCCTGCCCATGACTCTTTCCTGACTACGATGGGATATGCATTAATGTAAAACAGTCATAGCATTTCTGACACAGCAGTAGTTCATTGGCTTTGGCTATAACAAAATTATAGCACCCATAAATGCAATATGTAGAAAACTATTCAAATACAACTGCAATTACAGAGATGATTACTGTGTTACACAAATGCAGAGGAAATTCAGTGTAAGAACCATGATCCCATAGCATGCCACACCTACTGCTCAGAATATATAAATGTCACAGTCCGAGATTCAAACTCAGAATCTGTTTCCTGTAACACAGCTGAACTCACGTTGCCTGTCAACATGTCCTACAACTGCTGCTCCAGAAACTTCTCCTCCTGCTCCCTTGGGGGCTACCTGCGCTACCCAGGCTCTTCCTACCCCAGCAACCTGGTCTACAGCACCGACCTCTGCTCTCCCAGCCCCTGCCAGCTGGGCTCCTCTGTCTACAGGGGCTGTCAGGAGGCCTGCCGTGAGCCTGACAGATGCCAGACGTCCTGTGTGGAGCCCAGTCCCTGCCAGGTGTCCTGCTACCGCCCGAGGACCTCCACGCTCTGCAGTCCCTCCCTGTCAACTTACTCTGGGTCTCTGGGCTGTGGGTCCAGCAGCTTCTCCTCCCAGGGCTGTGGACCCAGTGGCTTCAGACCCCTGGGTTATGGAGTCTGTGGTTTCCCTTCCCTGGGCTATGAATCCAGATTCCGCCACCCAATCTTCTCTGCCTCCAGAAGCTGCCAATCATCATGTTACAGGCCGACTTGTGGCTTTGGTTTCTATAGACCAATCTGTTGAGGGTCCAGATCTTTTTGAGTATTGAGGTAAAAGTCTCTACTTAGTACCATCATCATTTTCATTTTCCCCAGTTACCACCTTTCTTTTATTCTTAAGTCATCAGTTTCTTGCATTACCAATTTTTGGCAGGTTCTGAGCTTAGTGAGTAACCCAAAATTATGTCCTAATATCTGTACTACTGATAAAATGTATGTTATTGGATTTTCATTGAAGAGCAATTGAAAATGAAAATTTTAATTGAATAAATACATGTAATCTGGCACCTAAAAATATTGTTCATCTTATTGTTATTATCATTTGTCTATGGTTTCTATAATCAGAGATTTGAGTGGGTTCAATAAAGACCAGTTTGAAATTGGCTTTGGTCACTAACAATTTGATTCATGTGAGCAGATTTCTGTCAACATTCAATATGTTCCCTACTGGGAGTAGTCATTTCCTGGAGGTCCATATTTTGCATGTCTCAATGTTAGTGAAACTTTCCTAAGAATGGGGGGCATGCATTTCTGCTGACAAAGGTCAAACAAAGACATTGGTACATAAAGTAGAAAGGCACACAAGAATACTATATACCTTAGAAGGTGAGATTTTACATGGACAAAAATGCACATGAAAGTCTAGTATCTCTGTGTGTGGACTTAGCTAAGATAAAAGATGAGCCTTAAACAGGAAAACAGTCAAAGCCCAGGACAGATGCTTTGCTCAGTATGGGTTGGCATAATTGCTGTCAACCAAAGAAGGGCAAAGCTATAAACCAATCAGTTGCTTCTATTTGGGGTCTTAGGCTTTGCAATCCAGGAGACACCAATTTAGGTAGCAACCTACTTTGTGCTTCAAATTGCTGACAAAGTTTAGGATTTTTAATGGTAAGCAGCAGGAAGTTAATTCATTTACCTAAATTGTTTTCAACATTTTGTGATTGGAGCTGGTGGAGAAGTTTGTACATTATTCAGTTTCTGATGTGTTGCTATGGCTGAAATCAGGCAAGTGTCCCATATAAATGCATAAAAGATGGTAGGCCCAGGGAAGTGGCTGGCATTCTTTTGAGACACGAGACTCAGACCCCATTTCCTTGATGGCCTCCTGGCTCCATTTTAGTTGTTTCCCTTAGCCATGCTGACTCCATTTTAACTCCAGCTTATTACATTTCACAATACCATGATCTCTGCCTGCCTGATTAAGGGATTCCTGAGTCTCACCTATAAACTTATGTAGGGAGATTCACAGAGACCTTAGGTGGGGAATTAGGTAGGCTAAGGAAGT